CCTGCCCGCCCTCGCCCCAGCCAGTCGGGAGCACCCAGCTCCCCATGTATGAATGTATATTTTATAAGGACTGACACAGATCATGGTATCTGAAAATACTAAAAAAGGAACCTTAGGACGTTTATTTTTCTTTGTACAAAGCGACATGGTTTTTTTTTAAAGGAGAAGCGGGTCATTGCAAAGGGCTGGGTATCTTTTCTTTCTGGTTTTCTTTCATTTCAAAGCAATACCAGGTTCTTCAGCAGGACGGTCTGTGCAGAATCATGCCATTCACCCATACACTGGTCCACTCTCAACACTCGCAAGTTTTTTTTTATAACTATAAATACAGTATATATAGGAACTAATATAGTAATGCACCGTGTAATGAAGCCTAGTTCAGTATCGGTCCATGGCTTTTAATTCTCTTAACACTATAGATAAGGATTGTGTTACAGTTGCTCACGGCGCTGGGAAAGCCTTGCTGCGCATTCCCGCTGGCAGCCAGGGCAGGGAGCCGGGAGCGGGTGGCTCGGCCTTTCCCGGCCCTTCTTGTTACAGTCAGTACTTGTACAACTTGGTTTCTTCCTTTCCTTCCTCTTGTTTTGGTTATGAATGTTGGGGTACCACCTGCATATAGGGAAAAAATGTGCTCTGTGCTTTCCTGGTATCTTTTTAACGAGGTACAGTAGCTTTGTCTATCAGCCGAGAACTATACTTGTGGTGTTTCTTTTATTGAACTTACAGTCTCTTTAGTAACTACAGGTAGGTGAATAATTGTTTAAAAAAAAAAAAAAAAGCTCTGCAAAGGCAAGGTTATGTTCTAGAAATACATTTCTTGACAACTTATCATGTATAACAAAACGTTTTTTTTTTCTTGTGTTCTTCCAAGCTTCTGGTTGTTTTTGTTTTTTTTTAAAAAAAAAAAAAGAGGAAACGTGTCTAAAGTACATCAGTGTTAACTCCCTGCCACAGGGAAGAAGGAAATACTTTAATAGTTTAAAAAAATGCTGAAAGCTCTGCAAAAGACTGAATGTAAAAATAAAAAGTGTACATAGTTGTAAAAATACAAAAAAACAAAGGAGTTTTTAAACATGTTTATTTTCTATGCACTTTTTTTTATTTAAGTGATAGTTTAATTAATAAACATGTCAAGTTTATTGCTGCAGAGGGCTGCTCTCCATTTCTTCTTGAGGATTGAGAAGCTGCTTCTCCTTCAGGAAATTCGCTGGGGACAGGAGCCCCTGGCCAGCACCGAGGGCTGCACGGGGTGTTTGGTGAGGAGCCCTCAGCTCCAGTGCACATGGGGGGCACTGGCCAGGTGGTGGGGCCTCACGCCTGGGCTGCAATAGGATGGGGCAGGGTGAGGTGGGGCTGGCAGTGTGAACATTAACCAACCCACAGCCTCCCCCTGGAGCCCCATCACAGGCCTCAGTGGCACAGAGGGCACCATGGCCACGGCGAACGACAGGGCTGTCCTGCAGACCATCTTTAACCCCAGCACCCCTTTTGGGGACATCCCAGGGTTGGATGAGGAGGAGGAGGACATCGAGTTGGAAGGTGAGGTGACACTGCACTGGGTTCTCACTGGAATTGGTGGCGGGGTCCCCATGGGGTGAGCCAGCAGGCAGGGAAGGAGGCTCTGCAGGCTGGGAGCAGCTCCTGCCTGAGGCTGGACCTCACCACCCTGTCCTGTGCCTGTTCCCTCCCTGGACTGTAGGTGTAGGGTAGCACTAAGGCTTGCAGCCCACGGGGTGTCCTAGTGCCACCACTTCCTAGCCAAGGGCTCCTGTTTGCATTGCCACAGTGGAAGCTTTCCCATTGGAGTTGCTGGAGCAGGTCCGGGACCTGGAGCTGCAGGGAGTTTCTGCGGCTGAGTCGGGAGACGTGAGCACGGCCCTGGAGCGGTTCAGCGAGGCCATTCGCCTGCTGCCTGAGCGCGCCTCGGGCTACAACA